TTTCTTAAAATGACACTTGCACCATCAGGACTTGAAGTCTGTGGAGAACTCAATCAAGGCAGTGCAGTGCTTGAATGATATGGTGACTAATGCTTTGGTACATGTGGAGGATTGCCTCAAGTACACATCTGCTTTGCAAGATCCTGCCATATTTCGATTTGGTGCCATTTCTCTGGTAATAGGTCGAAAACGTATCTCTCAGTCAGCCCTGTTTCAGCCTAGTATCTTAATTTCATTTCTCCTCTAAAGCTTGTGTCATATGTACTTTTTCCTGCTTTTGTTAAGCTTGTATCTTATGTACTTTTACCTGCTTTTGTTAGATCATGCATATTGGACTTCTAGCCTTATTCTCCAACAACATTGAAATCTTTAGAGGTAGAGTAAAAATGAGGCGTGGTAAGAGATATATGGAAATTTCTTCCTTCTGCAGCTGATAACAACATGCAAAATGGAGAGGGAAATTTGCTTGACATTCCATTTATGGTTATGTTTCCAGGTCTCGCTGCTGAAGTCATTGACCGAACTAAAACAATGGCTGATGTCTATGGTGCTCTCTCTGAAAGCTAAGGTAGGTATATAAATCAACCAAAACTTAATGGGTGTTGTAAATGATGGTCCTAGAAAGCGGTATTTTAAACTTCAAAATGCTACCTCTGGTATTGTAGATTGACAAGAATGATCCAAGTGCAACAGAAACATTGAGCAAGGTGGAAGCAATCCAGAAGGCATGCAGGTAACCCGGGGTCCTGAACAGAACGTTGTCAACATTTCCATAGACAGAAGATTTGTCAACATTTTCAGTCCTTAATTGACTAGTTTTTGAGTTTTACCAGGAAATCTTACATAACCCAGAGTGAGCACAATTCCACTCCAATTCTGGTCAGTTTCGGCTTCTGTATTCCTTCTTTCGTATTGCAAAAATATCTACTTATCTTTCTGTTAAACTCAAAGCCGGTTGTACTCCTGAATGTGTTGGCCATCATTTTGGTTAATCGTAATCCCAGCTGACCAAATAACTAGTGCAAAGTATGGATACTCAAATAATGAAACAATCATTATATTGATTACAAAAAATTAAACTACAGTTCGCTTATTTAAACCGCACATCTTATAATTATTGATAAAAATGTAAGTCCCCAATATTTGTTGATAAAACTCAAAAACTTCATATATTAGATAAGCGCACTTTTGCACTTCTTATATTGGAGGGCGGGCCTCGCACCACCTCTCAAGTGTTCTCCATTGATTATCATGAAAAAAATTCACAATTATGGTTCCTCCCTCGCAGTGTTTATGTTATTATGTACTTTGTTGAAAATGATGTAAATGAATCTCAATGACAGTAAGAACATGATTGCATAATTAATTCGATGATTTGATCTCGGCAAGATTAACAACGATCAGCAGAACCTTGTCTTTCAATTAATAAGAACATAACCTTTTAAAACATATAAGGTTAAAGAATTTGCAAATTAAAATATGAACTTCAAAGATCATTGTGTTGTGAAACACTGACAAGAAATGCAATAGTTGCGACCAAAGGCCAAAGTGAAATATGTGGTGGGTAAACTTCTAGTTTAAAATTTTTACTAATGATTTAAGTAGTTTAATAGTAATCTCATTCCGTTGAAATAAAAAATTTTGAATTCAAGTTATATTACATGTGAGTGGATATGAGAGAATTGTCTCTCGTTATGCAACCCAAAATTAAAAAAGAAAAAAGAAAGAAATTCCTGGTATCTATAAGACATCAAATATAGGTAGGTAGAGAAGCAATTTTCTAAGAGTCGGCGATAACATACCCTCTGGCTTTGAATACACATAAGAGGCGGAAATACACACAAAGTATTCTTCCTGGAAGCCAATGACCAGAAAACTTTAGAAAACTTCCGCCACCTTGCTTGCAAGTACACGTTCCCTTCTTTCGATATATCCATAAGGGAACCAACCAGCTTTTCCTTTGCACTCGCCTTCAGCCCAGCCATTATTTGTTACCTGCCAAAACAACAGGACATGAGTTATTCTTGCAATGAATCTGGAGGTGAGTGAAAACATGACACTTTGAAGTCAATGTAAGAGGAATCATCTTTAAACCTTTCGGACAACAACATAGTCACCAATTGACAAAGTCAGCTCCACATCAGATTCAGCATTGTATGGATGCATAACCTGCATCAAAACAGCAATTAAATGTTCATCATAGATTTGTGGCTTCGTTGAATTTTCAACTTCTAGACTTCTACACACAACAGGAAAAAAAAGTAGTAACTGACCTCTCCTAAGAAGTATCCCATGCTGTCTGTAGACCCATTGTGCATTTGAGAAGCATAGACTCCATTAACTTCCTCATATGAAGGAGGTGGTGGCATGCTCTCCACACTTGGGCTAGGGGGCGCTTCAATTCGTTGACGCTCTGATATCATCTATTAATAAAGCAATGAAGAAAAGAAGTAAAATTTTTAATTGTTACTTCAGCAGCAGTAAGGGAATACTAGTAAAGGAATTTGTTAACATCAACACAGACCTCGTTTTCAAGTTGTTCAAGTATCTGCAAGACTCTCTGATGGTAAATACGTTCAGATTCAACCTTCAATCCCAAAGTAAGAGGGCAGAAGGGTAAAATTTCAGAATGATTTCTCATCATTTAATCAAGCATCAAAATTTTAAATAAAAAATGCTGCCTTACCATAGCAATAAGTCGCTGAAGAGTCAATCTTTGTTGTTGGACTTCAACTGCAGCCATTGCTGCTACAGCTTCCTTCCCTAAAATTCCCATATTTGATTTCAGATCTTTTAGTTTTGCTTCTGCAGATTCCAATTTCATAACATTCTCAGCATTCCCAGGTGTTTCCCTCACTTTTGCTTGGCGTTTTGAAACTTCAATAGCCTGTCTAGTTTCAAAAGAGGTTTTAAACACAAACCCATACAAAACCAATGTTCAAATTAAGAAATATAAAACTAACTCAAATTTTCAACTCAGTTTTGCAGTCACATAATCCAAAATACCTGAGCTTCAGCTTCTTGTCGCATCCTGTCATATCGCTGGGCAAGATGCCGTGCATCCTCTAAAGGAGCTCCCATTACCATTGCTCTTAATGGCTCAGCAACCTAAAAATGAAGACCAAATCAAGCAGCTGATCATGGGAGGACCAGAGGGAAAATCCTGAAAAAGATTAGGCCAGTCCATATATATATATATATAAAAGAAAGAAGGATGAATACTCAAATATTAGGTTTTAATAAAAATTCTGCACCTGGGACATTTACTGTGAATTTCTGAATAATTTCAGGTAGATATATGACAACATATTGAATTCTCCAAAGAAAAATGCAACTGAAGATAAGGCTTGCACAGCTTTTGAAATTTTATTTCCTTTTTCACACTAGTTCTCCAAAAAAGATTATATGATTGTGCATTTATTTACTGACAGCATTCAGCTCATAATTTTGCTTAAAAAGGTGTTATTTTCTACCTTGATATCAAGTTAAAAGGGGTATGCATATTTTGAGGGGGCAACAATAATTTGAATTTGGACTACATATAACAGAGCAAAGCAGAATTGGTAAAAGCAATAATAAAATATTGTAAACATAACACTGCCCATCTCACTAGCTGTTGTAGTTTCAGTGCCCAACAGTTAAGATAATAGTGATTGTTACTAATTTTTTTAGCATGGATGTCAAAGGGCTTTCATCTAAATTCTAATGTGATTTATAAGCTTACAGCTACCCCTTGCTTGTGAAACCAAAATTATTGATTTTTCCTTTTTGATGCTAACATGGAAATTTAGCTAACCTGTGTGCCAAATGCCTTCAATAGATTCCCACGCTCCTTTTCCATCTGAGCACAAGCACGCCCATAACCAAGAGCGGCTTTTGATAATGTATTACCACTAGTACATGTATTTTCAGAACCATATTTCCTGCTATCCTCAGACAACTTTGTCCCTGTTGAAAAAAATGCATCATATATGAGTGACTATTGTCATGTCTATCAAATGCAAAGATTCATATCAAAGTCCAATGTCGATGCTCCACCAACTTGCCTATTTCAACTTGTTTGGACCCAGTGTAAATATGTCCTTCTACACCACGAACAATATCCCGTTGAAAATGCTGACAAATAAAAATAAATATGCAAACATCAAGATAGTAAACATTGGAGATGAAGACAATGCAAGAGAATAAACAAGGAAACCTTGGCAGCACGTGTTGAGATGTAAAGCTTCTCAAGTTTTTGATGTTGCTGAAGTTCTGCCTCATCAGCAATTATATTATCTGAACCTCCATATCCCCCAGCTCCAAACTGTTTAAGAACAGCCTGAAGTAGCATTCAGTTTAATGGCATCCTCATCAGCAAACTTCAGTAAAATACGAAAATGGTAACTAGTGTAATTTTGGATTTTTTTTTTTTCTTTAGTGAACTTAAAAGCCAATATTCATGTATCCTATACCCAATGAAGCTTTCATATAAAGTCCATTAATGACAAAATCAAAACAATGGGTATGCTTTCCTTCAAAAATGGGAACTTATACACATTGCCAATTCTAAATATGGGCTTTCATCATTTAATTAAAATGAAATCTAACACTACAAAGACGCAGGACACTTTCCACAACACAAATGTCCCTCACTCAGATATATGCCTTACGGCCCCTACCACCACTCACCCACTCTAGGTTCCAAATTGAATTGAATTTGCATACATGTTGCATAAATGTTGGTTCTTTCAAAGTTAATATACTGATAATATAACTTCAATTAGTTAATCATTTGACTCTAATCTTCCAAAATCAATTGGGATCAACATTCACATTCTCCGAAAGATTGGGAAATAAAAACGCGCTCTTTCCTCCACAACCCGCATGCATTTAACAGATCCAGTCCTTAATCTCGCCGTATGAAGTATGAGCAAATCAATTTAAATCTCGAAACCAAAACTTATAAAGCAATAAATAAAACAAGAATATCCAACCACAGACATAATCAGAAATCAGAGAAACAAGCGAAACAGTAGCCATAATATCGTGAATAAATAAGGAGATCATCAACGCCAAGCCGAGGAAAAAACTTCGAATTGGATCTAAAGCATGTTACGCGAAGAAGTTAAGTTAAGTTTGTGATCCTAGACCGATTGGGATAGAGACAGACCTGCTGTTGTCTGGCGACCTGTTCTCTAAGCTTCGTCGCCTGTTTCCTAATAGCCTCCATCTACCGGAGAAATTGCGATTCCGATGTTTTTCAGAACCGGAAGCCGGCGAGAGATTTGAAATCCAGAAGCGTTTTCCGATGTTCCCTGTACCCACCGTTTATGCCTGCGTTTCATTTGAAAATTTTAATGGGATTGTTCTCATTTTATATTTAATTATTAAATATTCCTATATGTATTTTTATTTTACAGTATAAATTGTATTTAATTATATAATTTATTAAATTCAAATGATTACATTGCTTACCATATTGTAGTTTATATTGAATAATATTTTTTTGAATACTATTTTTTTTTTTGGGTCAAAATTGTTCTAATGAATCCTTAGATGAGAGGAAACCTTCTAGTGTTATACTCCCCTTCCAAGGGTTAGTTTAAATGTGCTCTATTCAGAGTGCACTAATTAAATATTTATGTAATTTTTATTGATCTCTATATGAAAATGGTTATTTTTACTCTTTGTTTTTAAATAGTTATTATTTTTTTCTTTAAATTAAGGATTTCAAGACAATTTATATATTTATCTACATTATTATTAAAAAAAATTAAAAGATAAAGTAAGATCTTTTGTGATAGGATAATTAATTAAAATAAATAATTAATGATAGAGTTAAGGTAGAAAAAAAAATATTTGTATATCCTAAAAATAAAAAAATAACAATTAATTTGGGAATAGATTTAAAATCAAATAAGAATAATTATTTTAAAATAGACAGAGTATTTTTTTTTTTTTTTACCACCAAGAAAAGTAATTTTGAATTTTTTTTCTCTTAAAACATGAAAAACTTCATTAACATCCTAACAGTAAGGTTCACTTGTTAACTATTGATGTTAGGTAAGAGACACATGGTAGAAGCTCACTCACTCATATCTTAAAAGCATTTTTTTCTGAAAAAAAAAATTACCTTAAATTCAGTATTGTCAATTTGTCATGAATACGCTTCTATAAAGTGATACAATCACTATCTTCGGTGGATTAAGTAAAGCGTGTGGCCAGCTATCTTCTGTTGATTCAAATGCAATCACTTGCTTTTGAAGCAATTGTTCTTAATTTGTATTATGCTTCACATTCTCTATGTCTAACTTTCTCCTCTTCCTCTTTACATTCTTTAAATTAATAGGTAGAATCTTTACGAAAAAAAAACAAGACCAATTAAGTGTGTTAATTGTTACATCTGTTTGAATTTTTGATGTAAGTATCAAGAATCTAGGTTTATACTTAGGGGACAATGCTAATCTTTAGTTCATTAAAGGAATCATAAAAGATGCACATATACAGTATATTTAACACTGTACCAACATCATCAATGATTTGTTGATTCGAATGGAAGAAGTTTGGTTTCTCTTAAATAAGATCTTGAGTTCAAGTATTGTGAATGGAAAAATAAATACTGAGAGAATTTTCTCTTATGAACTCTAATGCAATTCGATTTCAAATTAATTAAAATTTAATGTAATTATTGGATATCAAGAGATTAATTTAAAAAATACTGTACAAACATCACTGACAATTTACTGATCCGAATGGAAGAAATTTAGTTATTCTTAAATAAGATATCGAGTTCAAATATTATAAATAAAAAAATAAGTATTGAGAGAGTTTTTCTTATGGGGTCTGATGCAATTTAATTTTAAATTAATCAAAATTGAATGTGATTATTAGATATTAATGTCAATTAAAAAAACACTGTACAAACATCATTGCACTCATGGAAGCTTGTTGATCACCATGATACACAGTGTTCATTAGACTTTATCTTATGGGGCACTCACCACAATATATTGTTCAAAGTTTCCGTCATTCCATTTCAATCTTTTTGCTCAATCTTCCGACTTCATGAACATTTTTTGGACTTTGGATTACAAAAATGTGACACTGAAGCTGAAATCATGACCCTCCTTCCTACATCAAACTTCCTTCAAAGTCAACTATTCCTTTGACATTGAGTTAGAACTTAAACTATACTCCTTCGAGTCAAACTTAATTATATCAAATAATTTATAATTAAATTTTTTTTAATTTAAATGAAAATGCCTAAATATTTAATTTTTATCTATTTATTATATAAAATTATATGAACAAATTTTATATAAAAGTTAAACTAAATTCTATCAAAAGGATTATTTTGCAATAATTTCTTCATTGCTTAGTTTAATTACTTAGGATTCGTTTGAATATATAAAATGCATTTTACATATTTTTATAGTGTTAAAAGGACTAAAAAATTTATAATTATAATTACAAATTAACGCTATCAAATTAAATTTTAATTCTTTAAACCTTAAATAACTTTTTATTTTTTGA